TATTCAATAAAATTCATAAATTAAATATAATATATAAATATATATAAAGTATAAAAAGTGTTCAAATACAATATTCAATATTTTTTCAAATTTTTGGTGGTTTTCGTTAAAATTTATCAATAAAAAAATATTGGGCAAGTTATATTAATACTTAGAGAGAGAAGATTATACAATAAATGTTGGTATATTAGTATTGATTTTGATAAACAATATAAAATTAAATTCGATTTAAACTATTAAAGAAAAATTAAACAAATAATTTAGCTTTTGTTTATCAAGCTAGTTATAGTAATACTTAGAGAGAGAAGATAATACAATAAATGTTGATATATATTAGTATTGATTTTGATAAAAAATATAAAATTAAATTCAATTTAAACTATTGAAGAAATAAAGTACCAAAAATTAAACAAATAATTTAGCATTTGTTTATAAATCAAAAGAAAATTAAGGATTAAAAATAGAAATCTAAATTAAATTGTTTTGAGTTTAGTAAAAATAGATATTTCTACTTGAATGATAAATATAAAATTAAAATATGCAGTAATAACAATCTTATTAAATACGATAAGTTAAAAGAAGGAAAATATTTTTTTAAAAGGATCAATTTTATAATTTTAAAATGGTCAAATAAATTTATTACAATAAAAGATCTACTTTCATTAAAAAAATTTGAATGTAAAAAAGTAAGTTATCAAATATATTTAAAAAAATAAATTTATCTCATTTTATTTAAGATCGTAGATTGTAAACTGCTCTTTTTGAAAATTTGAAGATTATGTAAACAGAGATTGTTTACAAATAATTAATAATATAAAAGAAAGCTGTAATTAAGAATAAAAGAAAGTAAGAAGCAAATAAATAAAATCTTTAAAAATTTCTTCTCAATCTAAATTATAATTAATTAAACTTTGGATTTTGAGTAAACACTAATAATTCAAAAGTAAGGTTTTTGCATATTATTCATACATACTACTTAAAAATAAGAATTTAGTTAAAAACGTGTTTTATATTTTCAAAAATTTTCTTTAAAAAACTACCTTTCTTGAAATTATTTTAGCGCTAATAATAATTTTCCTTGAAGAATATGAATGTAAGAAAAATAAAAAATGAATTAAATAAAATGATAAAATATTTAGAATCTCAACATTTTAGTAGTAATTATTTATTTTAATTGAATAAATCGCAAAATATTAATTAATAAATAAATCTGTCTGTGTGTGTTCCTGACCATAAAATTTTAGTATCAAAATTTCATCATTATTATATTCGAAATTAATTACAAGTTAATTTTATTAAAGGATTTTTGAATAATACATATTATTTACATTCTATTTTTAACGTTATGATTGAAAATAATAGAATAAAAAAATAGTATTTTTCATAAATTTTATACAAAAATGTTAAGAATATTATTTTTAAATAAACTATTATGGTAAAATTAAATAATTTAAAATAAAAAGATATTATATTAATGATTAAAGTTATTTATTTTTTTCCCTTCCTCTCTTTTAATAGTATTTGCTATTGAGAATCAAACTAAGTGATTTTGATTATTTAATTATTTTAATAGCTTACAAAGTAAGTTTTAAATTCCAAGAAAAATTTTCAAAAAATTAAAGACATTACATAGCAATCTACTTGTTTGCATTTTTTAATTTATATATATACTATTCAAAAAATTACCTTTTAAAATAAATAAATAAAGAATATTTTGAAAATTGCAAACAAAATAAATAAAGTTAGAAATTAGTTAATAACTTTAAATTTTATAAAATAAATGCAAGAGACATAAAACTTTTCTCAACTAATTCCATTAAACGAGAGTATTTTTGCTTTAAGCAGTTCTGAAAAATACAACGATGAAAACTTAGATTATTTTTCTGTAGAGTTCTATGAGTTTTTTAATACAGAAAATTATGAAGAAAATGCTGATTCTTCTAAGAATTAGCAAATACTCTAATTCGAAAAACCTTAAAAAACTGATGAAAAAAAAGATGACATCAATTAAAACTTCCATAAAAATTTAAAAATAACCTAAACTTTGAAACTTATACAAAAGAGGGTTAAGACTCCTAGAATTTATTGTGAATAATTTAGAAGAAAGAAAATTGATATGATCAACCTGAATGTAGAGGAGGTTAAACTTTTTGATGAAGCTTTATTATTTGGAAATATTAAGATAGAATCTAATTATAATGATTATGACAGCTTGAGTTCTCTAAGCAAAATTGACACTACTTCTTGCATCAACAAAATAGAACAACTTGTAAAATACTAAAAAAAAGGATTCTTAGAACTGATCCTAAACACTACACACTCTAATTAGCAAATCCACTTTCGTTTTTTAATATTCTATTTCCGTAAGATTCATGATCATAACTTTTAACGCCTTTCTCATAGCTTAGCAGAGTATTCAAAACTTTTATAAAATAAAGTTCTTCCTCATATTATATAAATAAGACGTTTATTTTTAGAATCGCCAGAATTTGTAGATTAAGCCTTTCTCATTTACTCGAACATAGAAGAAAAGATAAAATAAAGAATGATGAACTCAGTTAAGAATACAAAATTTTATAAAATTTGTCTACTGAAGTTGAATTTCTAAAGCAAATAACTCGATTTAGCCTCATAGCGAGTCAGTTATAACCTATTAGAACTACTCGGAATTCATGAAAATAACATTGATAGAGTTTATAATTGGTCTCCATAATCCCTTATAAATTTCGAAACAAATTATAAAGGTTAGCAACGCATAGAAAACACTATATTTCAATTATAAGCTTTTACTTAAAAGCAAGATAATTGGTAAAGCTCTACGACAGTAATACAAACTATAGATGGCATAGATATATAAGCAGTGTGTTAGTAATAATATTATTACTTGAATGATATTGGAATTGAGATCCCTAGCTGGGTTCATTACTTAGATATTGTTGGAGTGGTATTAAAGTATGATGTTTCGCCCGTTTAATTGTAAACTGTAAGTAAAATGAGAAAAGGATTCGAGTTAAATTTGAACCTCAAAGATGTTGGTATAGAAAAAAACTACACTAGTAATATCCCACTTGAAAACGGAAAGTTAAAATAATTAGAAAGCTAAATGTTAAAAGAAATTTTTATAGAGTAATACTACCCTTAATTAATAATAGCAAACAACAAAGATTTTAATTTTACCCCAGATTTCACTAGTGAAAACAATAAATATAAGCCTTCCCTAAAAAAAAATATAAAAAAATCTAAATCTAAAATTAAAAATAAAATTTGATTAATTCATTTGTTTGTTTCTTTGTTTAGAAGAACAAACAAACAAATAAATAAATTAAATAATCTTAATGAATTTATTAAATAAAATTAGTTCCAGTGATTTTTATAAGAAAATAAAATTTTAAAGATCTGTAAACTAAATTAAATTAAAATTGAGAATATTCATTTTTTTCATCTATTATAAGAAAATAATTACATTATAACTATTAATTGCGGATTAGGAATTAAATTTCACTTTTAATAGATTACTTATCTCACTAGCCAACAATTTTGTTTTAAGCTTCTCAAATTTTAGAATGATTTAAGAATAAAATAATCAAATTGTTAATAATTGATTGCTATTGTACTAAGAAATATTAAAATAAATTAAATATTATTACTTTCTGTTCATAAAATATTATTATTCTACCAATTAGTATTTTATATAATCAAACTTTATAAATTAATAAATAAATTTATCTTAGAATTCAAATATTTGTCTCCTTTGATCTATCTTTTTAATGATACTTAAATATTATTTATGTATTTCTTTTATAATTTGTAATAATTAAATTAATTTTCATTAAGATTTCTCAAAATTAATGTATGTATGTATTTCGTAAAAACTTTTTCAAAATAATAATAGTATCAAATTAAACACAAATTATTTATTTTTAATATTGTATTGAAAATATTATTACTCATAAATTGAAACTCTAAATATTTATCATTTTCTTGCTCGATCTCATATTCTATTGTTTAAATCCATAAAGTAGATTTTGTAATAATAATTGATAATGAAATTAAAAATAAAAAGCTACTGTAGATACTCATTAATTAAGTCAAGTTAAATAATATTTTTTACATAAATTTGAAAATTTATTGATAGCTCGCTCGATAAAAACTTTGGAAATTCGTTGGCCTTAATTAATAAGTATCAAAGGTAAGGTAAATTAATTTTAATGAAGAGATATTTTTAAGATTCAATATAATTTTATATTTAAAAAGTATAAGTATAAACATATAATTATTTCAAATATTATTTGGCTTGATTGATAAAATTTGTGTATTTATTTTAAGCTTGAATTGAATTACATTAGATACAGAAGTTAATGATTTGATTAAATAGTGGAAATAAATATTTTGGTTATTTGATTAGCTTCCTGATGAATTTACACATATGAAGGAAAATTCATTGATAATAATAAAATTAGTTACTTATTTTAGAAATCAAAAAGATAATAACCAATATTATTTTTTTAATGGTGGGATTTATTAGTATATTAAGTAAAGAAAAACTATAGAAGTAAATTTGATTAATAAATAATTTTTTGTATTTTGTCATAAATTATAAATTAATGAAATCGTTAATGTAATGTTTTTCTAGTTTTTATAATATCTATTTTAAGATTTTTTAAATTACTGATTTTATTTTTTGTATTTACAAATATTAATTGCAAGAATATAAATCATATAAAATTTTTAATTAGGTAAATAAATCTTTATTTTATTTTATTTATGGAAAAATGTTTCTTAGGTAATTATTTTAGAGCTGAGGAATTGATTAAATAATAGTAGCTTCATTTAACTAATATTAAGCTAGAGCATATTATAACTTAACTTTTATTAATGATAAGATCTGTATAAAAAATAATTTGTATCCCCATTAATTTAAATTAAAATTCAGAATAAATCAATATCATTTATTAATACCAAAATGTTACATTTCAATGTAATTATTGTTAATTTTCCTGTATTTTTCTTACATTTTATGTAAAAAATTAAAATTTATATAAAAAAATACAACAAATCGACAAACATTTCATTTTTAAAATTTAACAAAGAAGGCTCATATAAAATATTATGCTTGTTTTAAATTAGTGAATTAGCTTATTTTAGATATAAATTATATTTTATTTAGATGTAATTAAAAATCAAAATTAGATAAAATTTACAAACAGCGGCCTGTTTCCTTTATCTATTTTAGATATAGATTTAAAATCTTCTAGTATGGTTGAAGTGCTTTTCTTAAATGTGTATTAACCATAAAAATTTTAATGAATTGATTTTTATTGAAAATAGTAAAAAATAAGCATTGGTCTCTTAGTATTTATCTTGTTGATTAAAATTTATATTTCATTTAATTAATTAGATGATTCGTTTAGTTTAAATTTACGTATGGTATTGTAAATATTAGCTTATCATTTATCTTTAAAAATACGATATCTTAGATACACTCATAAACAATTAATTTTTATGATTATTATTTGAATTTAGATTAAATTAAAACCTGAATAAAATAATGCAATATAATTTAAATTTTTTTATGAGTAAGTTTTGTTTAAAATCTAGAACAGGAAGTATTAATAAATAAATAATCATCAATTTATATCTATAGATTGAAAAATATCAAATATAATGGTAAGCTAAATTTTGAAATAATCATAAATAAAACATGTAGCACTACTAAAGTAAAATATGGGTACTTTGGTTATGTTAAATACTTTTGTGTTTAAGCTAAATCTAAATGGTGATTGTCAACTCATATCAAAAAGTTATTGCTAATAAAAATATTTCAATGGCCAGATGTGTAGAAGAATAGGTTACATTAGAATTTTTTATAATCCTTAGAAAGAAACATTAATTTACCATAAAAAATTAATTAATTGTTATGTTTAACACTTCAGAATTACTAACTCATGGGTTACTTATAATTTATAAATTCAAGTTAATTAAAAAAAAATAACAATAATGAATAACAATTTAGATTAATAAAAAATCCTAATGAATTTTATTATGGAGTTGTTGGATAAGTAACTCTTTTTCAAAATTGCTCTAAACTAAAAATTTTTTGTTAAAAAGTTAAAAATTTTGATTGCTTAATATTTTTCTTTCTTTTTTGTTTAAAATATTTTATAAGATGAAAAGTATTTGGAATATTTTCAAATATATTTATACAAAAGCAGAGAGTGAATCAATTAATGAATAAATAAATGAAAGAATCATTGTGTGCGAAATAAATAATTAAATTTAGAGAAAGGAAATGCTTATTTATTTTTGATAAGAAATTAATTGTGTAAATGATGTGGTTTTCGCTAGTAAGAGTTTGAAGTAATTGTATAATGTAAATTAATTAAAGTTATGTAAATTTGATGTGAAGAATAAGTATGAAAAAAAACTAATAACAATAAGGTTTTTTACGTCACGTTTGATAGATTTTTTAGTTATTCAGTGCTCAAAAAGATTATTAAAATCAATAAAATTTGTTTAAATTTGATAATTTATTTGTAAACAACGTATAATAATACACTTATATTTTTATTTTAAAAACAAAGCCAGTAAGAGAGAGAAAATTCTTTTAATAGCACTTTCTTATCTATTTATTTATTTATTAATTGTTTTGATTATCAAATAATCAAAATTTGCAAAACTTTTTTGAAAGCATAAATTAACCTACCCGATAAACAAATCAATAAATCAAAAACTGAAAGCTTAATTTTTCAGTTGAACATTTCTATGAAAAAAATTCAATACTTATTTGTTTTTTGCTTAAATACTAGCTTTTATGTGCAAAATTTGAAGAAGCTAATTGTTACTAGCTTTTTATTGTTAGCTCCAAATTCTACTTCATACAAGAATATACTTTAAAATTATTGCTAATTCATTTAAATTTATTTGCATAATGTGAAAAGCTCTTGAGTGATATTACAAAAATAGTAAATTTAATATGAATAGGTTAATGTTTATTTAAATATACTTGAAACCAATACAATTAAAAAAGTCATAAAAATTAATAAAATCAAAAAATTCAGTAAAGCAATTAAAAAGAATTTCTTCAAATAAAAGTAGAATAAATTTAAATACTTGCTAAATACTCATTAAAAATGCTTGAGAATCAAAATTTTCCTTGCTTGATGCATTCTTGCGAAAGTTCTTCTGCCTTAAATAGCTCTCAAAGAATTAGTGAATATACAAAGGATTCTTATTCAAATCTCATTTAAACATCATTCATTAAATTATCTGATAATGATTTATTCATCAATCAAACTAACTCGTTAGAACAATACTAAAATGATTTAAAGTCTATGAGAGAGAAACAAAATTTGTTCTCTGCCCCTTAGAAAAATATTCAACTAAACTAAATACTAAAGCTTATTTAAAAGAAGGTGAAAACTCCTAGAATTTACAGTGAACATTTTCGCAGAAAAAAGTTTAGAATGACCAGCTTAAATACCGAAGAAGTCGCCCTTTCAGACGAAGCTTTATTATTTGGAAATATTAAAATCGAAGCTAATTATCCTGATATTAATAAAGTAGATTCTTAAAACTCAGTAGATCCTTCTTCCTTCATTCACAGTGTAGTTCAGCTCACAAAGTATCCCCAAAAGAAATATTTAGAGCTCGATCTTAATGCAACTCACTCTAACCAGCACCATCATTTCAGATTTATCATTGACTACTTCCGTAAGATTCCTAATCTTAATTTCTAGCGTCTTTCCCGTAATTTGGCTGAATACTCAAAGCTCCTTTAAAATAGAATCCTCCCTCATATTGTACATGTTAATCGTTTATCTTAGGAATCTCCTGATTTTGCTCACGAAGCATTCCTTACTTACTCAAATATAGAAGAATAAATCAAATCAAAAATGTTGAATTCTGTAAAAAATACTTAATTTTACAAATTTTCTCTGCTTAAGCTGAATTTTTAAAGTAAATAATTGGATTTATCTTTACAACGTGTTAGCTATAGTCTGTTAGATCTCCTTGGAATCAGCGAAAACGATATTGATAGAGTTTACAATTGCTCTCCCCAGTCGCTAATAAATTTTGAAATAAACTACAAAGGCTAGCAGCGCATAGACAACACAATCAACCAATTAGAGGCCTTCACAAAATAATTACACAGCAGTCCAAGTTCTGTAACTGTATTGCAAACGATAGATGGTATAGACATCTAAGTGAAAGTCAAGTATGAATACATTTACCTCAATGATTTTATAAATGAAGTTCCATCATGGATTCATTATTTAGATATTGTCGGAGTTGTAATGAAATATGAAATATCTCCAATATAACTGTAATCTGTAAATGAATTAAGGAAAGGCTTAGATTACTGTGTGAGTCTTAAAGAAGTTGGAATAGAGAAAAACTGCTCTATTTATAACATCCTTGAAGACGGAAACAGAAAATAATTTGAAAACTAAATGCTAAAAGAAATTTTCATCTAATAATTCTATCCTGAAAAAATGACGCCAGATAACACTACAGAGTCGAGTTTTAGTCCAAATTATTCTTACACAAGTTCTAACTTTCTTCCCAGCCTCAAAAAAAGTAGAAAATCAAAAATATCAAAAAAAAATTAAATCTGATCAATTTTATTTAATTCAAGAATAGTATCTTTAACCAATTCAAAAAAAAAATCGAATCACCTTTTGAGTATTTATTTATTTTACCTCCCACCATAATAAATCTTATAAAAACAAGACCATCCCAACCCATCCGAACTAAAACAAACAGAGATAAAAATTAACTAAGTAAACAAGTTTTCATGAAATTAACTAAATCGCAACTTCAATTAATCATTCATTTTTTTGTTTGTTCGTTTCTGGCAAATAACTAACAAAGTCTAAGAAAAACCAAAGGAAGTTTGCATTTAATAACAAAAAATTGCTTTTCTATCTTCCTTTTGTTTTTAAATGATAAAATTCATCATAATCAACATAGAAAGTAATTTTATCAAACAAAAAACAAAACAAAAAATAGATCTGTAAAATATTATTTATAAATCACTAATAATTATTCATACTAATCAATCAATTATATAATAATTTAAACTATATATTCACTCTCAAATAATTTATTAACTAATTTTAATTTAAACCATCTTTAATCTAATTTCTTTAAATTTACACTTCATCACAAAACTTAAATTTTTTCCTTATTTATCTTTGTTTGTTTGTTTGAGTACAAATGTTAGTTAGAATGTGTAAAAAATAAACTTTTATAAGATTACAAACACTTTCATGTATGCTTGAATATTGATCATTTATTTTTTTATATTTGAATGAATATTTCTATCTTTTTTACTTTAGTGTTTGATAAAACCTATCACATTAGTTTTTTTTCAAATTAAATTCTTTCTTTATTTATTTATTTTCTACATTTATAATAATAATTACCAATCTAGTACAAAAAGTCTTTTTTAAGCACATTAGAAATGAAGAACAAAAGAAATCAAATAATATCTAATAATCTAGTAAAAATAGAAAAATAAATATACATATACATAATACAGGTTTTTGAACTTGAAAAGTTGATTTTTATCAAATAGATTTTTTAATGGTGAAATTTTTTCTTAAATGATTGATTGAAAATCAAATTACTCTTTTTAAAAGCAGAAGAAAATAAATAAATAAGAATTAATTAATTTATTTGTATAAAAATCTTGTGTAGGCAAGCAGCTTTTTGATTATTCTTAATTTCTAAAAAATCTAAATCAAATTCCTAAATTTCTTTACACTTTTAAAACAATAAAAAGTCTTTAACTCTTTGTGATTTTGAAAAGCTTGTTATACTTTATAAAAATTTTAGGTTATCTGTAAATAAATAAATGTATTTATGGATAAATTGAGAAAGTTTTTATAACTAAATTATTTTTTAGAAGATTTTAATCTAACTAAATAGATAATTCATTGATTGGTAAATTTTGTAATCATAACTATGCAAATAGCAAAAATTTTTTAACTATTTAAAGATGACTTCTCAAATAAGAAAAATTAATTCTTAAAAAAATGAATTTAAGGTTTTAAATATGCCATAATGTACTTCAATGAGTTTTTACTTAATATTTTGAGAGAAATTTGGATAAATTCAAAGACTTACTTTTAACAAGGATTTTTAAAATAGCTGTTTTAAAAGATTTTTACCTTGGCGCTAAACAATTTTTAAAAAAGTGTAATAATGTATAAGTGGTATGCTTTGTTTAACATTTAATATCCTGTTGGTAAATAAAAAACTTATGAAATAAATATTTAGCTTGTGTAAAATTATTCTGAAGGAGTGAGCAATTTATAAATATTTATAAATCATTATTGTTTTTATCTTACAAGTATGAAGGAATTTTATCCAAATTATAAAAAAATTAAATCATTTAAGGAGAAAAAATAGAAGATTTATAGAAAAAATTTGCTTTAAGTTGCTTATTGTTTTGGTTTTAGCTCTAGATCAGATATAAAAGTGATAAATAATAATAGTTGCATACGCTTACAATTAATAAATCAATTAATGTTAGACTATAAATTCTTATATGAAAGTTAATGCTTAAATATATATTTTTTAAATAGTTAAATACTAGCACAATCCTATAGCATATAATTCAACTGATTTCATTCTTTCTTTCTTGACATCATTTTTTAGCCTATTATTTTTAAAAGTTTTGTATTAGAATTACTTTATTTTTTATTACTTCCCGTATTCAAGTTACAGTTAGAATTATTAAAAAATTTTTTGTAAATTAGTGATATAAAAGCTAGAAAGAAAAATATTAGTGTAAAAGTATGACAATTCAAAACTCTTAATGACAAAATTTTTAATAGATATTAAGGATGTGTAAATGAAGGGATTTCTTTTAAATTGATTAAAAACTTATTGAAGATCTAGACGAATACCATTGTTTGCTTTAAAATTAACAAATAAATTGAATTAATATAAATCAGGTAAAAAATAAATCTACTATCGTTTAAATGTGAATGAAAATTTTTAATAATTTTAACTGCAAATGCGTATATTATGCAAAACCTTTATTCTAATGTAACAAGCAGGTTTATTTATTTAAATATTAAAATATAGATTGATTTTTGTTTTTCATCTCAAAATAAATATAAATCTTCCTTTAGAAAATTTTTTGGTATCATATGACGACAGACAATTTTGCTTGTAAATATGAAATTCATTTATTCAAGAAAAAAAATTGATTTTTTATTTATTTGTTATTTTTGTATATTTTAAAATGTATTGTAATTTACGATTATTTTAGAGTAATAAATTTAACGCATTGCTAACTTACATCATTCAAACTAGCTATTGGTTATTTAAACATAAAATATAAATTTTGGTTACATATTATTACTAAATTAAGTATTTATACATTCATCATTATTATTTTTTCTACTAAAAATAAATTACTTTGCTAACTTAATGTAAACAAAACAAATGCATGATGTTTTTTCATTCATTAATTTAAAATAAAAGTTAGTTATTTATTACATATATTTATTTTTGATGTAAATTTCACTATAAATTTTTTAAATATTGTTTAAAAAATTAAATAAAAAATATTTCAAAAACAAATATTAACATTTTACAACATATTTTTTCACCAAAATAAAGATCTTATCAAAATTAAGTAAATTTTTATAGATAATTCGTGATAATCTTTTTATTTAAAAATCAAGATTTTTTTAAAATTTGTAATTTGCATATTTTAATAATGAATAATTTGCTGCATAAATTAAAATAGAAAGAAATTTTAATAAATCTAATTCGATTGTTTATTTATTACCACTATAATTGAATAATTGATTAGCTTTTATTCACTTCTCAAATTTATTTGAAATTAATTACTCTGGCTTGTTCAAAAAAATAATTGTAAACAGTAATCTTGTTTAATTTCAAATATAATTTATTAGGTAAAATCCATATTTTTTAAATTTCAAATTATACTTTTAACTTACGATTTTACTAGGTGAATTACACCAAAATAAAAATAAATACATAATTATTTTCATATTATATTTTTCACTAAAATATATTTTCTCCTTTAAATTTTTAAATAAATTCCAAAATACTTTAAGTTTATTTCAATTCAGAGCAAATAATTTTACTTGTTTTTTTTTCTATAAAAAATTAGTATTTTCTGCTATTTGTAATTTAATTAAAATACTTAGTTTGAGTTCATGTAGATTATTTATTACTTAAATATTTTCATGTTTTTATTAAATTTTTATAACCAAACTGCCTAAACGGATAGAATTCGATTGATCTTATATGAATGTATGTATCTATTTTATATTACGTCTTAGAAATGATAAAAACAAAAATAATCTATAAAAATTACCAAATAAAAAGCAAATATTTTTCTTCTATCTAAATAATATAAGACAAATAGTTTATTTATATTTAGATAAATATAAATAAATATTAAAAAACAAATATTTTTCTTTTTTGCAAAAATATTATTAAATAATCTATTCATAGATACACAAATTTTTAAAAGCAAATATTTCTTTAGTATTCAAAAATTATCTATCATTAAAAATAATTTATTTTTTAATAGTTACTTTAATTTCACATATATCAAACAAATAAGGCAGGAAGCTATTTTTTGAGATCATTTTCCAGGTTTATCAAGTTTGAAAAAAAAAATGTTTTATTTGAGTTGGTATAAATTAATAAATAACTCAGTATACAAGTTTATATGAGTAAATTTAAAATAAGTTATAAAATTAATAATTGTGTTATACATTTTTAAAAATTCGTTAAGGATGTCATGTTTTTATGCAAAAATATATCTAAAATCTACTGAATGAATATTATTCAAAAGTAGTAAAACAATTACAAAATAAAGGTATAATTAATTATTAGGTAAATCATAAATGATTAACTTACTTACTAAACCAATAATCAACAATTAATGTTTTTATCATTTATTAAAAAAATAATTTTTGTTATTTTGTGATTAGTAAAATTTATTTTAAAATACTTTTTTTATTATTGAAATGTTTTACAGTTTTTTTGTGTTTAGTTACTTACCGCTTAAAAATGAAATTTACAATTGATTATATTTTTATGTATTATTTTAAAGCTAAGTAATATAACCTCAAATGATTAATAACTTTTTATTGTTGAAATCATAAAAATATTGTATTGTTTAAAAAGATATAAAAAATATATTAAAAATAATATTATTTCTTTGTTAACTTTAAAATATTACTTTCGTTTATTTAGAATGCAAATTAAATCATTAATCCTAGACTAAAACTCAAAAAAATTAATTAGCATTTATTTTAAGAAAATAACAGAAAGAAATTGAAGACTTACTTTAAATTACAGTAATTAAGTAATTTATTTGATTTGGTTTTAAGAAAAATACAAATTTTAATTAAAAATTTTTTTAATTAGCGATGTTTCATGCGCTTAAGAATGTATTTTGTTACATATTTTGAATGAATAAAAATAAAGTAGTAATAGACATTTTATCACTCAACTTACAAGCATTAAAATTAAACAAACAAACATTTGCCTTTTTTAATTTTTATTAGATTAAAGAGATAAAAATTTAGTTTTCAATATAAAATTTTAAATGGTATGATAATTCCTTCGCATTCTTATTCATTATTGATTTTATCCATCTTAACTATTTAAGTTTTAAGATTCATGAGTGTTGTTACTATCTGTATTCATGTTTCCATTTTGGTTTTAATTTGTATTTTACTGGTTTACTGTAGAGTTATTTTATTAATTATCTTAATTTGTTTGAGAAAATTCATTGCTTTGAATATAGTCTTGAGTAGTTTCAGCGGCTTTAGTCAATTATTACAGTTCTAATGACTTTATTTATTAATCCTATTGTTATTATGTCTATATGTTATTACTATCATTATCAATTTAGATTTCTTATTAATTAATCTAATTATTAATTGCTATTTGATTTTAATCTTACAAATGTTATCCAGCCTACTATGTAATCACATCCTTATCATTTTGATCCTAGGGGTTGTTTGGTTTTAATTAAATCTAATTATTATCTTGCTCTAATTAAATTCTGTTTTGCAAAACTTAATTATTTTAAAGCTACTAGGCTAATTAAGAAGCTTAATTAGTTAATTATATCTAAATCTATTCTTACATCAAAATTTCATTGTTATTCTTTTATACTTAGGAGGGTTAGCTAAATACAAATTAATCATTAGTTTTATTTTCTATTTAATCAGCTTATTATTTATTGATATTTACTTTTTCTTCAGATTTTACTGCTCCTTTATCTGATTTTTTATATTGCTGTAAAAATTAAATTGCTTCGTCATTACTGATTACTTTAGAAAACTATTCTTTGATTGGTGATAAATAAACTCTTTTGGTGCTTGGGTCGACTAATAAGTATAATGGTCCTTTTTAGTCTGATTCGTCTCTTCCTTTCAAAAAGGGATGTTAATTTAAATGGCTCATACGATAAAATTTAATATTTGAGTAAGTAGTCTCTTGGCTGTTTTGTTCTTGTGAAAGTCTATTCAATTCAAGTTAGTTGAGAGTGAGTTGAGATAATCTGCTTTGTGGGGAATCATCAAATATTTAGACTAAGAAAGGATGAATTGAATTTTACAGCAAGTGATCTAATGTTTCTGAGTTAATATTTTAGATCATATCTTGCTAATTAACAACATATTCTTATTTTCCTTGAGAAAGAAGAATTTGATCAACTTATTTCTGCAAGGTGCTAAAATCCTCATAAAAGTTTTCTGAGTCTCTTAAAAAGTATTTTTCAAATGGGAAAATAAGATGCTTGTAGTATTTGCCAACTTTGCTAAGAGATTTATCAATGTTGAAAAAGTTAAAGACAGAAAATTAAGGCTAATTAGACTCCATATGGGGGAAGAGATCTACGAGCTCGTCAGTATCAACTAGCAAGAAAGTGAATTCATTTTTATATTATTCATATAATTTCTTAAAGGTTAAAATTCTTGAATTGTTGTAAGTTTTATCATCATTCTGTAAGTTCAATGAAAGCACGTGCTTTTCCTTTTAGAATGTTATTTTTCTAAAGAGTTTTCCTATGCTGCCGAATTTAGCGTCTCTAAGGAAAGTAATTCTTGGCATGATGAAGTTCACAAAAGCAGCTTCTTCTTTCATTTCTTCAAGTTCTTGTGCATTTTAAGCCTTACCAGTTTCTTTTGAAAGTGTCTCTATGCTTTTTATGAGTTGCTAGTTAGAATGCTTATAGCCTTGGTAATTTTCTAGAAGGCTTGAAAAATATTAAAGTTTTTCATTTTTACCATTCAAATTTCTTTCGTTTTTGAGATACATAAATTCATCATTGATAACAATTTTCTTTTTCTTATCGTTGACTTCAGAAATATCTTTACTATTTTCTAATTTTTAAACCATGTCGTTTCTTAAAATGTAGATTTATCCATCTTCAAGATTGAGTTGACGCATAATTTCTTTATTTTCTAGAATTACAAAACGTGATTTTAAAGGAATGAGTTTTCTTTCTAATGACATGAAACATAATTTTTTGAAGAATTTTAGTTCCTTGTGTTGCTATTTGGCTGCAACAGAATTCTGCTAATTACTTAAAGAGGCACACTTGATAATAACAGGCTCATTCATTTTTATATATTATTTTTGTAGTATATCTGCTAATATTTTTTCTTGCTATTGAAGCTAATCGATATTGTTTGTATTTTAGAAGCGATCAAACAGACTCAAGTATCTATCGAGCTTTTTCACAAATTTATTGCTTTTGTATTCAGAGTAAAAGGATTCTCTTCTCCATTTAATGTAAACTGATTCATTAGAATGCACTGTTTTAATGTATACTTCGATAGGTTAGGGATCTTCTTCTCTTTCAAAAATTTTGAAATCCATGACGCGATTGGCCAACTTTTTAACTTCTTCCAAAGTAGGGCGTGAAACAACATAGACATTTATATCAACATTAGATTTCAAATCATCCCTTTGCTATTTTATAATCTTTTTAATGTGTTTAGCTGCCTTTATTGAATTATTAGTGTCTTCATAATTATCCTCTGCATGCACAATTAAGATATAATTTTCATGCTTATTTCCTAGCAAATTTTACATGTAAGTTTGTTTATTTAAATAAATAGCATCTTCTTCAACCTTAACTTTGTTTTCTTGCTAGCTTTGATTTTTCATTTATGCATTTGTATCGTTTGATGATAAATTTTATTTTTGTTCGTTCATCACATTATATCTTTAATACAAACCTATACCTATTAAGGAAGTACCAATTTAAATGGCTTTCTTATTAGCCAATTTCATGAAGGCTCTTCCACCAAATTTGAAAGCTTATCTAAACATGACTTAAAATAAAATATTTTATGATTTTTAATAAATATTTAAACTTTTAAAACGCTATCAAATACAAAGGAAATATTATTGCTAAGCTAAAAGTCCTAATTAAATATTATTTTTTTAATCAAATTAATAATAAATAAATAAGTCAATATTTTACAAACTCTTTTATGAGTTCTAAATAAATTTTATATAGATTTCATTCATAGTCTAATAAATGAAAACAAATATCTTTAATGACAATAAAAACAATCAATTATTCTAATAGAAAATTCAATTCTTATTTAATTTAATTTTCTCGAATAATCTTAAATTTATTTGCAAACAAATTCATAATAACTCTAAGCTTTGTTTAACCTTTAAATTTATAATTTATCAATAGAAATTCAATGTGCTTAAAAATCATTTTAAAAAATATTTATAAAAATTTTTTAATTTATTCTTGGTATTAAAATATTGAAGAGAAACAATAGAAATTAAAGACAATTTATTAATTAAAAAATGTAAAATCTATAATTTAAATCTAAATAAATTCAATTGTAATTTAAATTTATAAAAAAAAGAAGAACAGTCTCATTTGTTTGTTCTATTTAATTTAAATATTTTAAAAAGCAAATTGATAGAATTAATTCATACATTACCTTTATTCGCTTCTTATTCCTCTTAATTACACTTTAATTTAATTTAATTCGTGCCATAAATGAATGCTTTAAAGTAAGCAACTTGTTTAAGGTTGAAACAACAATATTCATGTTTATTTGAATTATCATTTCTGCACGGTATAAATATTTATTATTACTCTAATGCTCATTTAGATATCTTTGACTGCTTTCATAAAATATATTCACACGATTCATTTAATACTGTGTTTATGAAAGTTTAATATAGCTTTCTGAAAATTTTAATTAGGTTTTTGTAATTAAATTGACAAACCATACATCCTCTCTTATTGATTAAAAACATAAATTTTTAGTAAAGTAGTGATAATTGTCAAATATAAAAAACAAATCATATTAAAGTAAATTTAGTTATTGCCTTTTAAAATAAATGGTTTTGGCTAATCTCACATAGGACATTGTACTAGAAAATACCAAGCAAGGAAATATTTTTGAGAAATTGCTTGAAGAAGAATTCATCAGATAAGTGAAGTATTATAACGATTCAATTTGGTATTACTATTCCATAGCTACTATAATCCCTCTTGCCATATTCTTCATTTACCGTCTATTTTTCCCAAAAGATTTCTCTTAATCTGTAACCAAAAACGAACTTAAGCCAGACATCTGGGACAGAATAGTTTAAATATTTATATTCTATGGCCCTGTTTACTATGTTTTTGACCTATATGTTTACATCGCTTTAGGATAATACGGAGTCTGCTTTTTCGCTTACACTCTTCACCACATTACATCACTAGTATTCCTTCCATCATTAATATATTTAAATTACTACAACTGGTGGTAGCTTAGTGTCCCTCTTTTCCACGCTTGTCTTTTTTACTTCAAGGACAACTTCTTCATAGAGGTCTGCTATCTCCTAAGTGTAGTGCTCTTCCATTATGGAGTTAGATCAAGAGTTTGCCGCGACCTTCCTCGCTTTAAATTAGCTCACAAAGCTTTATTCTTTATTTACACAGCTATAATAACAATGTTCCTAGGATAATGTAGAGACATGTGAAATATACTATATAATAGTTAGAAATAAATAAATAAATCAACAATACGAAATAAAAATATGTTATATAAATATAAATTTCATTTTTTTAGTTTAATATATCATTCATTCATTCAATCATTATTCACTCTACTTTAGTTAGTGAATTTTTTTATTTAGTTAGTACTATATTAATTAAGTAGATCATAATTACATTAAAAATTAATTTTAATATAATAAATCTATTTGTCTTTTTAGATTAACAAAAAACATAGTTAAAAAATAAAAGCATTACTTATTAGACTCAACTTCAATTCTAATCTCAATTAGATTTATTATTTTTGTTGTTTTTCAAAGATCAAAGGCTATTTAAATTTCATTTCACTTTACATATAAATTGTATAATAAACCATCCAAATAGCATATTCTAATTTTAAAAAATATACTCTAAATTATCATTTTAAGCGAACATTCTAATTTACAGAGTTACTTTGATGTATAATCTTAATTAATGGAGCATGAAGCACTAGCCTCCCTTTTATTAACTATTAAAATATAAAGAATACACTAAATGTTAATAAGTTAGAATTAAATTTATATAAATAAATAAATAATAATAATAATAATAATAATAATAATAATATATATATATATAAATCGACAATATCGTACTTCTACATCATAGTTAAATTAAATTTTAAATTTATAATATTATTTAATTTATAATCTGTTCTAAATTTTTATTTTATTAATTGTAAGGTATTTTGCTGGTATTAATGTTATGCTAGCTTAAAGTTTTAAATAATTTTTACTAAATTTCTGGTTGAATATGCTTCATTATATTAGTGAAATTTAGAATATAGTTATGGCAATGGCATTTTTATTACTAAAAGTAAAATAAATTTACTATGTTATTTGGTAGTATTTTAATAATTTGTAGGTTAAAATCTTTCAAATTATTGGATTGAAGTTAATTTTTTAGCTTATTTTAAAATCTCATTAAGTATTTATTATGGACTTTGTTTTATATTTTAGATTTAAAAGCATCTGCATTTTCTAAAATTAAATCTAAGAAATTATTTGGCATATAATAATAATAATAATAATAATAATAATCCATAAATTTTATTTTCTATATTTATTAATATTTATTTAATTCTTTAAATTAGATAATTATTTTAACATTTTAAGTTGTTATTCTAGCATATTTTTCATTTAGAAAATAATAACAAATAATAATTTATTTTGAATTTTGAATAGAATCCATGTGACTTTACTTTCATAAAAAATAAGAAGTTCGTATTATACAAAATCTAAATAGAATTATTAATTAAATCATTTCTTTTATTTTGTTTAAACTTTTAAATAAATAATTGGTAATTATTCTCAATTTAAATATCATTTTATTTTATCAAACTTTTATCATTTATTATGTTTTATAATTGATATTTAAATACTATTTTTACAAAATAATTTAATCGTTTTAAAAATTAAAATTTTATAAATATTTTCATAATTGATTGTATTTTTTAAAAAATATTTTTTAAATTATTGCTTTTTAATAAAACAAAAATAAAAAAGTTAGTCATTTATAATATTATTTTTATCAAAATAAATTCTTCACTCTCATATTCAATAAAAATACACGGATATTTTTAGGCAAATTATTTTTTCTTTAGCTAGTTTCCCTTTCTAAAAAAGGCTTTTCAATGAATAAACAAAGTTATCAGAAAATGTAATTTATATTTTTCATATAGAATTTTCAAAAAATAAATCTAAGTATTTTTATCAGAAAATAAAAAAGTTTATTATCTATCAATTTTTATAAGGCAATTAATTAAATTCACATTTTTACATCAATATAAATTTTATTAGAATATTTAAAGAAATAATAAGCAAATCTTAATAAGAAAAGCCTAATAAATTGTTTTTATGGATAATAGTAAAAAATTAAAATTTGTTTGTATCTCAGACTCTCATACTTATGCTGATTAAGTTTAACTGCCATAAGGAGATGTACTAATTCATGCTGGTGATTTTACTTACACGGGTTGTCCTCAGGAAGTTTCTGAATTTAATGACTTTTTGAGAAACTCAAAGTTTGAAGTCAAGATTGTAATCGCAGGGAATCATGAGTTGACTTTTGATGTAAAAAATTATGAACAAAAGCTCAAACCAAGGTATAAAAATCACGTTAATTAAAATTATGATCCCAAATAAGTTAAATCGCTGTTATAAGACTGCATCTATTTAGAGGACTAGAGCTATAATCTTAAGGGCATCAATATTTATGGATCACCATATATTCAATTATATTCTAAATGGGCTTTTTATCTAGAAACAGAATAGGAGAGCATCCAAAAATGGTAATAAATTCCTACTGAAACTGATATTCTTATAACTCATGGAGGTCCTTATGAAATTATGGACTTTGAGCCAAGCTCTCCAGAGTTGCATGAAGGTGATAAATACTTAAAGCAATAAATTCTTGAGAGGGTCAAACCTAAATACCACATCTTTGGTCATTCTCATGGAGGTTATGGCATCAAAAAAATAGATAACACAACTTTTATTAACTGTTCTATCTTAAATGAGTACTACTAATTGGTCCCTTCTTATCACAAACCTATTTGTTTTGATTATGAAATCTCATCTGAATGAATTAATAAAAAAATTAAATAATTTATAATTAATTTGTAGAATATTTTTTTATTAACTTATCAATCACAGTTTCAATCATATTATAATTGAATTAGAAACCTTTAAAAGGATATCTACAAACCTTTTCTAATCAAAAATAATAATAACAAATTTGAAATATCAAGTAAGTAAGTAATCAATTATTATTTTGATAGATATGTTTTATATAATCAATATAAGATATATTTTTTACTAAGAGTGTTTATATTGTAGATTGAAAAAATATTAATTCCTTCAATTATTTTTAAATGTATTTTTTTTCAAAATAAATTAAAATTTAAATGAAAAAAATATTCTAAATTGGATTACTCATTAAAAGCATATATATACTGTAAGGTTCATATATTAAGGCCGGTTTTTAAAAATTTGAAAATGTGGTTTAATTAAGCTTGCATTTATACTCATTTGTAATAAAAAAGTGGAGATGGTAGTGAATTTGATAATTTATGTTTTTTAAAAAATTTTAAATGATATTATTAAGCTAATTTAAACAATAATTCCTTTATTATTTTAAAATTTTAATATTAAAGATGATATTATTCAATCGTTTTAATTAAGAAATCTTTTTGAATATTAAATCAGATCTAAATAATACGTGTTTATTAT